TGTGTGTGTTTGTGTGTTTGTGTGTGTATGTGTGTGTGTTTATTTAGCATATGGAATATCATACATGGATTTGCAATATATATTAACATTTCATGTAGACCAATAAAACATAATATAATATAAATTTGAAAAAGATCTATGTTCTAAACCAGGGGTCTTCAAACTTGGCTCTTTTATGATTTGTGGACTTCACCTCCCAGAAGTCCTCATCCAGGCATGCTGGCTGAGGAATTATGGGAGTTGAAGTCCACGAGTCATAAAAGAGCCAAGTTTGCCTACCCCTGGTCTAGGCCATCTAACCATTGAAGCAAAGCATTGTTTATATTTAAAAATGAGAGACTGTATATGCCTTCAGTTTACAGCGGGACATGAACTGATCTACGATTTGACGTGGTACCCGCACATTTAAACACCGGTTTGCTGTTCATGAGACCTAATGCTAATTGCTGTCTAAATTGTCCTGGCGCAGAATTGTTCCCTCATGCTGTTTAGTTTCCTTTTCAGAAAATACTGAAAGTAAATATAAAGGTAAAACCAGAAACTTTTCTTTTTGGTTTAATGGAAAAAAGACTTGGACAAAATGATGGAACTTCAATGTTATATACGCTGACTGCAACAAGACTAGTTTATGCACAAACATGTAAGGACATTTCGATCTCCACAATGGCGGAATGGCTGCAAAAGTTGATGGAGTTAGCAGAGATGGCTAAATTGACTCCTTTGATGAAAGAAAAAGACATAAGTCCTTTTGTTTCTACTTGGAAACCCTTTCTGGACTTCTGCACTTCTAGGCGGCTGGGCTAGAAGATCTCCAAGGTCCCTTCCAACTCTGGAATTCAGCTTCTAAGTGGCTTTTATGGCCTCCGACAAATGTCTTTTGGGGTTTTATCTTCCAGCCTATTATTAAATGGTAAATATAGAATCTTTCTTCGGTAAGTAAACTCATATTCCAAAAGTTTCCAGGTTGGTTATTAATTTTAAGATGTATATTGCAAGACATGATCATTGCTTCTTGTGTATAGAAGAAATAACCCTCCAAATTACAGGAAGCCTTAACTTACAACACTTCATTTAATGACCATTCGAAGTTACAACGTCACTGAAAAAAGGGACATGTGAACCTTTGAGAGCTGTATGCAACGAAATTTCATTTTGATGTATGCCAATTGGTGTACATTCAAAGTGACAATAAAGTTGTTGTTGTTCTTGTTATTATTATTATTATTTTCACAAATACGACCTTTGCAGCATCCCCATGATTATGTTATCAAAATTAAGATGCTTGGCAACTGGTTCACACTTATGACCGTTGCTGTATCCCCAGGTCATGTGATTTTCTTTTGTGACCTTCTGACAAGCAAAGTCAATGGGGAAGCCAGATTCACTTAAGAACCAGGTTACTAACTTATGAACTGGAGTGATTCACTTAACAGGTGTGGCAAGAAAGGTCATAAAATGGGGTAAAACTCTGACGAAATTGGTGCCCCTCTCTAAGTGGTCAGATTGCAGTCGCTGTCAGGTCACCATTTGCATGGAGAGAAATGGCCAGTCTGGGAGTTGCACTCACCTCTCCAGAGAAAGTCGGTTAGAAGAGTTGGATTGCATATTTTGCTAGTGTATGCCTTGTAGCAACAACCTAGCATGACTTGCAAGAAATTATGGCCTCTTAGCTACTATAAGTTGGGTATTGTTCTGTAAAATTCCTTATGAACTTTTGTCACACTTTCGTCCATTGCAGAACCCCATGGTCACGTGATCAATATTCAGATGCTTGGCAACTGACTCATGTTTAGGACGGTAGCAGTGTCCAGGGGTCATGTGATCAACTTTTGCGCCCTTCTGACAAGCAAAAGCAATGGGGAAGCCAGTCTTAACAACTGTGTTACTATCTTAACAACTGCAATGATCTACTTAACAACTGTGGCAAGAAACATTGTAAAATGAGGCAAAAGTCACTTCACAAATGTTCCATTTAGCAACATATATTTGGGGATCAATTGGGGTAGGTTGAGGACTACCTGTATGTAGTTGAGGAACCTCTGGAAGTGTCAGGTTTCCATTAATATTGTAACTAAATACTAATTCACTGTATGCTGTAGAACGGTGGGAAAAAATGGGACAAAGCTCAGACAAAGAATTTTGCTGAAATTTACATTTAATGAAAAGTTTACCCTATTCCTAACAAAAGTGTAATGAAAATAGGCCTAAGCTAAATTAGTATATATAAAATCTTTTTTACTTTTATTCTCCGAACAATAACTAGAACAACAAGAGCAAGTACAACAAAAAGAACAATTACAAAAACAACAACAATAACAAGACGCAGAAAGTTCCTTGGGGGAAAGTGGCTCATCGCTGGTCTTCGCTGCTGGGTCGGATTCCGCCGTCCATCGCCGTCCGTCTATATGCAGATAGAATAACAGAACAGAATACCAAGAGTTGGAAGGGACTTTGGAGGTCTTCTACTCCAACCCCCTACTCATGAACACATTGTTCCCAGCATCGCCTCCATCTGTCTGCTGTGCTAAATAGCCAGCTTCTGGTCCAGCCCATCAAGAAGGGCGAGACTTCCTCCTTGTGAATAAAAGAGCTGCCCTTTGCTGCTCCTGCCTTTTCTCTGCCCTACTTGTTCTCGGATGAGTGTATAAAGCAGTTCCTCCTCCAAACTAACCATCTGCAGCTGTGTGCTTTCCCATCCGAAAGCCTCCTGGCTGTCCTGCCGCACCTGTGCTCCAGCCAAATCCCTCTCCTCTGGCTGCTCGGAGGCATTGACCAACTCACCTCCTGATGTGCCTGGGACTGGTTCATCCTTCTCCGATCTGCCAACTGGAGAGGCATCTGGGGAAGCATCTGGGGGAGTAATCAAAGGCTTTTATTAGTACCACACGCTTTCTATAAAAGTACAAACACTTTGTTCTTTTTGGAGTTACTTTTGATACTTTTGTGGGGTTTTCTTAATAAGGACACTGGAGAAGGTTGCCATTTCCTTCTCCAGTGGACCATGTTGTGTTAGCGCTCTGCACTATGACCTGTCTGACTTGGGTGACCCTGCACGGCAGAGCGTATTGCTTCATTGAGCTTTGCAAGACTTCAACACAACAACAAAGAGGCTAAAATAGGTACCTCTTTTAATTAGAGATTGAAGTCCAGGGAGTCTTCCTCCAGGCTGCTGAGATTCTCCAGCGTGCCTTCCCCTTCTTCAGGAGAATCCTGTGAATGACAATGATTCCTCTTTAGCCATCAGTGAAAAGAGACTCAGAATTCCTAAAAGAGGTCCTATTGAATCAGGATCCTCATCGGGAACAATGCTTCTGTTGCAATCCCCACCCCCACCCAGCCATTCCCGCAGAAATGTAGGCTGTCTACTCTGCCCCTTACTGCCCTGCCCAGAAACAACAGGGTGCTGGAGAGGAGGAAGCAGAAAAAGGAAAGGGATAAGCACGGTGGTTCATATCCATTTAGGATACCAGTCCACTGCATTGGGCCCTTCCCTGCTGCTTTGCGGTACCCAACCAATCGCAACAGAGCTTGAGTGTTAGCCTAAATATGTTGTCCCAAGGGCCAGGTGTCACCTTGCTCCACTGCCCAGAGCCCTCCAGCACAGTTCACTCAGATTAGGAGAACTGAATAGAGGGACTCTATCCTTCCCCAAGAGAAAACACTTTGTCTTTCTTACCCACGGACTGGACGAAAGGCTGGCCTCCAAAGCCTCTGCAGCCTGCTCCCAGCTTCCCTCAGACACCTCATCCAAGAGGGCAGAAATGGAGTCGAAATCCTCCAGGCTGTTGATCCCGGAGCCCACCTGCACTTCCATCGAATCCTGCTAGTGACAGTATCGAGGCTAAATCCTAAGCCTTCTGCATCCCAATAAGATTGCTAAAGGACAGGGTGCGTTCAGGCCCTGTGTGCCAACAGCAAGAGAGCCTCCATCGGCCCCATTGCCAAGACTTTCTTACCTCCGAGGTCTGCGTCTTCTCCTCAGTAGGAGAGAGCTCCTCTTCTGCCGGCTGGTCTTCTTCGTCCTGAAATAACAATGTGAAGGTTCTGTCTGTTGGCATCTCCACAGAGACAATGCTTCTTCTTTTAGTGGGGCAGAAGCTGTTCAGGTCTTACCGACTCAACGCAGGTCTCCAAAATGGGGGGGAGTCGCGGCCTCCAGTGCTCTTGCTTTTTCTCTCTGGGGAGCGAAACGAAGAGGCCAAAGGTGAAAAGTAGCCACGGGCCCTTTTTAAAAAAGTGGTCCCGTGGAGGTTCTAAGAACCCTTCCAGCTGGCCTGCCAAGGGGATTGGCCTGCCAAAGGGGCTGCCCTCAGTCATTCTTCCTTTGCAGAGGCAGAGGGCAGAGATGCCTCCCTTCTGCAAAGGTTTCACCCTCCGAGGTGTTACCTACCTTGATAAGCAGGCACTGCTTTCCTCCTGCACGTCGTCCCTTGGTTGGCATTCTTCCAAAGGATCCTGAAATAACAATGCAAATATTACAACTGTCGGCATATCAACAAACCCGCAGCGAAAGGGCTTCTGCATGGTGAGGAGCTGGTCTGGGCTTACCGACTCAGTGCAGGTCTCCGAGATAGTTAAGAGCCGCGGCCTCCATTTCGCCATGTTCTCATTTCTGGGGAGAGAATGAAGAGCCAAAGATGAAAAGTAGCCATGCGATGCCTCCCCTCTGCAAACGGTTCTTCGAGCCCTTTTCTTTAGGGCTTTAGTGCGTCCGCCTTTTCGGGGGCTTCAGAATACTTCAGCTGAGAACACCTACCTCATTGAAATAAGAACTGGCGCCACCTCTTCCTTCCTGGGGATCCGGGCGGTGGCACGAACACCCATCAAAACCTGCAAGTAACAATTGTTCATTGAAGGAATAAATGAAAAGTCCTCTGCATGTGATGGAATGTTTATCTTCCCCAAGAGGGAAAGGCTGCACTCCACAGGGAATAGAGACAGCAGATCATGGAAAAGTTGGCTAATGGGAAGAGGCTCAAAATGGCTCTTTCTTAGAATGTCCCAGTATTTCCCTTCCAAGCCATCAAGATCTTTTCCCGAATCCAAAAGGCTCCTCTTGACTTTCCTAGGCTGGCCAGGTTCCCCCAAGTGAGAATTCCTCCCTTTCCCCACCCGGTTTTGAGGCAAGGACCCTGACTGGCCATGTCACAGAAGAGTCCTTACCCCTTGGGAGGAAGACCTGTGTCCATCAGACACACAAAGATGTGTCTGCCATTCTCCCTTCTGGTCATGCCGCTTCTGTCCCTCGTCAATCCTGGCCAAAAGAAGAAGGTGACATGTCAAAGGTTATCCTTCTAGGTCTGCCTCTCCTTTCTAGGACCGGCCATTCAGCCTGCCCAACTTTTTGCCTCTGCAACCCCTTGCACACAGGAAGCCATCTTGAGGAGAGGCTCTTAGAGACCCTGCAGTCCATCAATGTTGCCCCACCATGCCCAGGGTTTGTGGAGAAGGGGGTGGTACCTGTCAGGAGGCTCAGGAAGGTCCTCTACGTCGCTCTTCGTGCAGCAGAAGAGCGCTGAACATCTTTTCCAGATGTTCTGTGAAGAGAAAAGAAATAGGCATAAGTCAGTCATAAGAGTTGGGAAACATGACTTTCTCCCCTACTACTGCCAATTTCTTGGCAGCTGAGATGGCCACACTTACTCTAAAAAACCGTCGTACAGCCATGACCCCAAGCAGCTGTTGGTCCTTTCACTGCACGAAGGGAGAATGGACAGCTGGGGCCTGATTGGTGGCTTTTCAGGGAAACTGTCAACCTGGTTGCTTTGGCAACCAGGTAAACATTGGCCACATTCTAAACCTGCCCAAGGAGGGCAGCTCACCTGGGTTTAGGAGTGTCTGGATGGCCCGGTGGCTGACTCCTTTGGTGGCTTTTGGCCTCTGCCTTTCACGTGGGAAGTTGTTTGTTCATGAAAAAGAGAGAAGCACAATCATTGTGGCACAAAGCACAGAGGGAATCATACAATCCTAGGATAGATGGGAATTTTAGTCCAACCCCCTGCCCAAGGAAGGGCTCCCCATACCATCTCAGACAAATGACTGTCCAATCTTTTCTTGAAAATCTCCACAATGCAGCACACACAACTCTGGGATATTTCCTCTCCATACTCACACAGACTTCAGGCATGACCTCCCCGGCGGCCATGTTGCAAAGCGTTATTTTGAGCCTTCAGCGTTCACTTAATGACTTCAGCATTCGCTTAATGACTACAGCGTTCGCTTAACAACTACTGTAAAAATGTTCAAAAAATTAGGTCCAGTCACATGATGTTTTGACTTTTTAACTGCAACAATGTACGACTGTAATTCAGGGCTCAATCGCAGTCTCAGGTTGAGGACCACCTGTACTGATAATGTGACTTCAGGCTCAAAGAGAAAAACATTACAGATTTATAGTGATGAGGAGAGAGATGCTGTACTTAAATATCTTCTAAGTAAATGTTGAAGCATTCACTGCCCTAACAAATAGAGACAGTTCTTCTTTCTTCAAGAATGGCCTTGCTGGTCTCAAATATGTTCCATTTTAAATTTCCAAATATCATAAACTAGGAACAAAAAACAAGAAATAAACAGCAGGTTCAAAGTAACCAGCTTCATAACTTATCCTTCAGTTATAGTGAAATATTAAACCACAGGCATCCCAGAAACAGAACAAATTCTTATTTTTTTTTTTTAGGTTTGCAGGTTTACTTCCAAAACGTCTATTGTTTCACATAGATATCCTTTTTCTTCCTCCAACGGGAAAATTCTCATTTATTTATATTCATATTTTAAATTCTGTCCTTGTATCCTCTTTGAGTTTATAAAAATATCTAACTTTGATATAATGCCCCAAACAGGAACAAACGTAGTTATCGTTATGACTGCATTTCTGAAGGATGGGCTTCAGAGTGGGTTGTGTAGGGATTAGAGAAATTTCAAAGGAAGGTTGAGGAAAAATATTGGAAGCAGGATTAAGTACACATAGTACAGGAAGTCCTCAACGTACAACAGTTCATTTAGTAACCCTTGAAAGTTACAATGACACTGAATAAAGTGACTTATGACCGTTTTTCACACTTACGACCTTTGTAGCAGTCCCATGCTCACGTGATCAACATTCAAATGCTTGGCAATTGGTTCATCCTTATGACCGTTGCTATGTCCGGAGGTCATGCGATCACCTTTTGCAACAGTTTGAAAAGCAAAACCAATGCGGAAGCCAGCTTCACTTAACAACCGTGTTACTAAGTTATCAAGCGCAGTGATTCATTAAGCAACTGTGGGAAGAAAAGTCGTAAAAGGGACAAAACTCACTTAACAAGTGTCTCCCTTAACAACAGAAATTTTGAGCTCAGTTCTCATCGTAAGTCGAGGACTACCTGTGCAGGAAAATCAAGCTGAGACTTGAGTCCATAACAAACTGATATTTAATTTGAGTTTGTCCCAAGAAGCTTTATAGTAACAAAATTGTCAATATTGTAAAATTTACATTAAAAACAACGTGAAAATGGATTATAAACAGGTTGCCTTAGCTGTACGATATTTCTACCCAATCCTGCCTTCCTTGGCTCTAAAGATGTATTTATACAGATAGTCCTCGACTTACAACCGTTCATTTTTTGACCCTTGAAAGTTACAACAGCCCTGACAAAGTAACTGATGACCATTTTTCACACTTACGACCTTTGTAGCAGTCCCATGATCATGTGATCAAAATTCAGATGTTTGGCAATTGGTTCATACTTATGACCGTTGCTGTGTCCGAAGGTCATGTGATCCCCTTTTGCAATCCTTTCAACAGCAAAATCAATGCGGAAGGCAGATTCACTTAACAACCGTGTTACTAACTTCACCACTTAATTCACTTAACAGCTGTGGCAAGAAAGATTGTAAAAGGAGAAAAACTCACTTAAAAACTCTCTCGCTTAGCAACAGAAACATTGGCTCAATTGTGGTCGTAAGTCGAGCACTACTAGTATAACTCTTAGTAGTTTTCTTAGGGCTAAGACTCCAAGCTTTCCTTCCATCTGCCACTCCCAGCTCCCAAATTACTCACTTCTCTTCCCTCCAAGAATACAAATATATAAATATAAATATAAACCAGAAGAGGAACCCAGTGTTACTATCCTTTGATTGACGAGTCTAAGATCCAATCCCCACTCACTGAATTTCTGGGCAACAGGAAATGGCCTCCTCCTTTCCCAACACGGGGCCTAAAAATCCAGCCTGAGCTGAGGAAGGTCTGTAGTCCTTGCAGTTTGTCCTGCTGTAGTCACCTCTCGGGCTGAGACAGGTAGCATTGTCAGTTCTTTCCACACATTTTTGCAGTGAAGACAGTTCCGCGCAAAGACAAAATTCCACAAGTAACTATGAATAGGATTATGGTGGTGATAAAATACCAGGGCAAAACAAGGCAAGGCAACAGTAAGTAATGGTTACACTGGATATTTCCCATTTGGGACCAAATCTTTAAAAAAATATCTCTCTCTCTCTCTCTCTCTCTCTCTGTGTGTGTGTGTGTGTGTGTGTGTTTGTGTGTATTTGTGTATGTGTGTGTGTTTATTTAGCATATGGAATATCATACATGGATTTGCAATATATATTAGCATTTCATGTAGACTAATAAAACATAATATAATATAAATTTGAAAAAGATCTATGTTCTAAACCAGGGGTCTTCAAACTTGGCTCTTTTACGATTTGTGGACTTCACCTCCCAGAATTCCTCATCCAGGCATGCTGGCTGAGGAATTATGGGAGTTGAAGTCCACGAGTCATAAAAGAGCCAAGGTTGCCTACCCCTGGTCTAGGCCATCTAACCATTGAAGCAAAGCATTGTTTATATTTAAAAATGAGAGACTGTATATGCCTTCAGTTTATAGCGGGACATGAACTGATCTACGATTTGACGTGGTACCCGCACATTTAAACACCGGTTTGCTGTTCATGAGACCTAATGCTAATTGCTGTCTAAATTGTCCTGGCGCAGAATTGTTCCCTCATGCTGTTTAGTTTCCTTTTCAGAAAATACTGAAAGTAAATATAAAGGTAAAACCAGAAACTTTTCTTTTTGGTTTAATGGAAAAAAGACTTGGACAAAATGATGGAACTTCAATGTTATATACGCTGACTGCAGCAAGGCTAGTTTATGCACAAACATGTAAGGACATTTCGATCTCCACAATGGCGGAATGGCTTCAAAAGTTGATGGAGTTAGCAGAGATGGCTAAATTGACTCCTTTGATGAAAGAAAAAGACATAAGTCCTTTTGTTTCTACTTGGAAACCCTTTCTGGACTTCTGCACTTCTAGGCGGCTGGGCTAGAAGATCTCCAAGGTCCCTTCCAACTCTGGAATTCAGCTTCTAAGTGGCTTTTATGGCCTCCGACAAATGTCTTTTGGGGGTTTTATCTTCCAGCCTATTATTAAATGGTAAATATAGAATCTTTCTTCGGTAAGTAAACTCATATTCCAAAAGTTTCCAGGTTGGTTATTAATTTTAAGATGTATATTGCAAGACATGATCATTGCTTCTTGTGTATAGAAGAAATAACCCTCCAAATTACAGGAAGCCTTAACTTACAACACTTCATTTAATGACCATTCGAAGTTACAACGTCACTGAAAAAAGGGACATGTGAACCTTTGAGAGCTGTATGCAACGAAATTTCATTTTGATGTATGCCAATTGGTGTACATTCAAAGTGACAATAAAGTTGTTGTTGTTCTTGTTATTATTATTATTATTTTCACAAATACGACCTTTGCAGCATCCCCATGATTATGTTATCAAAATTAAGATGCTTGGCAACTGGTTCACACTTATGACCGTTGCTGTGTCCCCAGGTCATGTGATTTTCTTTTGTGACCTTCTGACAAGCAAAGTCAATGGGGAAGCCAGATTCACTTAAGAACCAGGTTACTAACTTATGAACTGGAGTGATTCACTTAACAGGTGTGGCAAGAAAGGTCATAAAATGGGGTAAAACTCAGATGAAATTGGTGCCCCTCTCTAAGTGGTCAGATTGCAGTCGCTGTCAGGTCACCATTTGCATGGAGAGAAATGGCCAGTCTGGGAGTTGCACTCACCTCTCCAGAGAAAGTCGGTTAGAAGAGTTGGATTGCATATTTTGCTAGTGTATGCCTTGTAGCAACAACCTAGCATGACTTGCAAGAAATTATGGCCTCTTAGCTACTATAAGTTGGGTATTGTTCTGTAAAATTCCTTATGAACTTTTTTCACACTTTCGTCCATTGCAGAACCCCATGGTCACGTGATCAATATTCAGATGCTTGGCAACTGACTCATGTTTAGGACGGTAGCAGTGTCCAGGGGTCATGTGATCAACTTTTGCGCCCTTCTGACAAGCAAAAGCAATGGGGAAGCCAGTCTTAACAACTGTGTTACTATCTTAACAACTGCAATGATCTACTTAACAACTGTGGCAAGAAACATTGTAAAATGAGGCAAAAGTCACTTCACAAATGTTCCATTTAGCAACATATATTTGGGGATCAATTGGGGTAGGTTGAGGACTACCTGTATGTAGTTGAGGAACCTCTGGAAGTGTCAGGTTTCCATTAATATTGTAACTAAATACTAATTCACTGTATGCTGTAGAACGGTGGGAAAAAATGGGACAAAGCTCAGACAAAGAATTTTGCTGAAATTTACATTTAATGAAAAGTTTACCCTATTCCTAACAAAAGTGTAATGAAAATAGGCCTAAGCTAAATTAGTATATATAAAATCTTTTTTACTTTTATTCTCCGAACAATAACTAGAACAACAAGAGCAAGTACAACAAAAAGAACAATTACAAAAACAACAACAATAACAAGACGCAGAAAGTTCCTTGGGGGAAAGTGGCTCATCGCTGGTCTTCGCTGCTGGGTCGGATTCCGCCGTCCATCGCCGTCCGTCTATATGCAGATAGAATAACAGAACAGAATACCAAGAGTTGGAAGGGACTTTGGAGGTCTTCTACTCCAACCCCCTACTCATGAACACATTGTTCCCAGCATCGCCTCCATCTGTCTGCTGTGCTAAATAGCCAGCTTCTGGTCCAGCCCATCAAGAAGGGCGAGACTTCCTCCTTGTGAATAAAAGAGCTGCCCTTTGCTGCTCCTGCCTTTTCTCTGCCCTACCTGTTCTCGGATGAGTGTATAAAGCAGTTCCTCCTCCAAACTAACCATCTGCAGCTGTGTGCTTTCCCATCCGAAAGCCTCCTGGCTGTCCTGCCGCACCTGTGCTCCAGCCAAATCCCTCTCCTCTGGCTGCTCGGAGGCATTGACCAACTCACCTCCTGATGTGCCTGGGACTGGTTCATCCTTCTCCGATCTGCCAACTGGAGAGGCATCTGGGGAAGCATCTAGGGGAGTAATCAAAGGCTTTTATTAGTACCACACGTTTTCTATAAAAGTACAAACACTTTGTTCTTTTTGGAGTTACTTTTGATACTTTTGTGGGGTTTTCTTAATAAGGACACTGGAGAAGGTTGCCATTTCCTTCTCCAGTGGACCATGTTGTGTTAGCGCTCTGCACTATGACCTGTCTGACTTGGGTGACCCTGCACGGCAGAGCGTATTGCTTCATTGAGCTTTGCAAGACTTCAACACAACAACAAAGAGGCTAAAATAGGTACCTCTTTTAATTAGAGACTGAAGTCCAGGGAGTCTTCCTCCAGGCTGCTGAGATTCTCCAGCGTGCCTTCCCCTTCTTCAGGAGAATCCTGTGAATGACAATGATTCCTCTTTAGCCATCAGTGAAAAGAGACTCAGAATTCCTAAAAGAGGTCCTATTGAATCAGGATCCTCATCGGGAACAATGCTTCTGTTGCAATCCCCACCCCCACCCAGCCATTCCCGCAGAAATGTAGGCTGTCTACTCTGCCCCTTAATGCCCTGCCCAGAAACAACAGGGTGCTGGAGAGGAGGAAGCAGAAAAAGGAAAGGGATAAGCACGGTGGTTCATATCCATTTAGGATACCAGTCCACTGCATTGGGCCCTTCCCTGCTGCTTTGCGGTACCCAACCAATCGCAACAGAGCTTGAGTGTTAGCCTAAATATGTTGTCCCAAGGGCCAGGTGTCACCTTGCTCCACTGCCCAGAGCCCTCCAGCACAGTTCACTCAGATTAGGAGAACTGAATAGAGGGACTCTATCCTTCCCCAAGAGAAAACACTTTGTCTTTCTTACCCACGGACTGGACGAAAGGCTGGCCTCCAAAGCCTCTGCAGCCTGCTCCCAGCTTCCCTCAGACACCTCATCCAAGAGGGCAGAAATGGAGTCGAAATCCTCCAGGCTGTTGATCCCGGAGCCCACCTGCACTTCCATCGAATCCTGCTAGTGACAGTATCGAGGCTAAATCCTAAGCCTTCTGCATCCCAATAAGATTGCTAAAGGACAGGGTGCGTTCAGGCCCTGTGTGCCAACAGCAAGAGAGCCTCCATCGGCCCCATTGCCAAGACTTTCTTACCTCCGAGGTCTGCGTCTTCTCCTCAGTAGGAGAGAGCTCCTCTTCTGCCGGCTGGTCTTCTTCGTCCTGAAATAACAATGTGAAGGTTCTGTCTGTTGGCATCTCCACAGAGACAATGCTTCTTCTTTTAGTGGGGCAGAAGCTGTTCAGGTCTTACCGACTCAACGCAGGTCTCCAAAATGGGGGGGAGTCGCGGCCTCCAGTGCTCTTGCTTTTTCTCTCTGGGGAGCGAAACGAAGAGGCCAAAGGTGAAAAGTAGCCACGGGCCCTTTTTAAAAAAGTGGTCCCGTGGAGGTTCTAAGAACCCTTCCAGCTGGCCTGCCAAGGGGATTGGCCTGCCAAAGGGGCTGCCCTCAGTCATTCTTCCTTTGCAGAGGCAGAGGGCAGAGATGCCTCCCTTCTGCAAAGGTTTCACCCTCCGAGGTGTTACCTACCTTGATAAGCAGGCACTGCTTTCCTCCTGCACGTCGTCCCTTGGTTGGCATTCTTCCAAAGGATCCTGAAATAACAATGCAAATATTACAACTGTCGGCATATCAACAAACCCGCAGCGAAAGGGCTTCTGCATGGTGAGGAGCTGGTCTGGGCTTACCGACTCAGTGCAGGTCTCCGAGATAGTTAAGAGCCGCGGCCTCCATTTCGCCATGTTCTCATTTCTGGGGAGAGAATGAAGAGCCAAAGATGAAAAGTAGCCATGCGATGCCTCCCCTCTGCAAACGGTTCTTCGAGCCCTTTTCTTTAGGGCTTTAGTGCGTCCGCCTTTTCGGGGGCTTCAGAATACTTCAGCTGAGAACACCTACCTCATTGAAATAAGAACTGGCGCCACCTCTTCCTTCCTGGGGATCCGGGCGGTGGCACGAACACCCATCAAAACCTGCAAGTAACAATTGTTCATTGAAGGAATAAATGAAAAGTCCTCTGCATGTGATGGAATGTTTATCTTCCCCAAGAGGGAAAGGCTGCACTCCACAGGGAATAGAGACAGCAGATCATGGAAAAGTTGGCTAATGGGAAGAGGCTCAAAATGGCTCTTTCTTAGAATGTCCCAGTATTTCCCTTCCAAGCCATCAAGATCTTTTCCCGAATCCAAAAGGCTCCTCTTGACTTTCCTAGGCTGGCCAGGTTCCCCCAAGTGAGAATTCCTCCCTTTCCCCACCCGGTTTTGAGGCAAGGACCCTGACTGGCCATGTCACAGAAGAGTCCTTACCCCTTGGGAGGAAGACCTGTGTCCATCAGACACACAAAGATGTGTCTGCCATTCTCCCTTCTGGTCATGCCGCTTCTGTCCCTCGTCAGTCCTGGCCAAAAGAAGAAGGTGACATGTCAAAGGTTATCCTTCTAGGTCTGCCTCTCCTTTCTAGGACCGGCCATTCAGCCTGCCCAACTTTTTGCCTCTGCAACCCCTTGCACACAGGAAGCCATCTTGAGGAGAGGCTCTTAGAGACCCTGCAGTCCATCAATGTTGCCCCACCATGCCCAGGGTTTGTGGAGAAGGGGGTGGTACCTGTCAGGAGGCTCAGGAAGGTCCTCTACGTCGCTCTTCGTGCAGCAGAAGAGCGCTGAACATCTTTTCCAGATGTTCTGTGAAGAGAAGAGAAATAGGCATAAGTCAGTCATAAGAGTTGGGAAACATGACTTTCTCCCCTACTACTTCCAATTTCTTGGCAGCTGAGATGGCCACACTTACTCTAAAAAACCGTCGTACAGCCATGACCCCAAGCAGCTGTTGGTCCTTTCACTGCACGAAGGGAGAATGGACTGCTGGGGCCTGATTGGTGGCTTTTCAGGGAAACTGTCAACCTGGTTGCTGTGGCAACCAGGTAAACATTGGCCACATTCTAAACCTGCCCAAGGAGGGCAGCTCACCTGGGTTTAGGAGTGTCTGGATGGCCCGGTGGCTGACTCCTTTGGTGGCTTTTGGCCTCTGCCTTTCACGTGGGAAGTTGTTTGTTCATGAAAAAGAGAGAAGCACAATCATTGTGGCACAAAGCACAGAGGGAATCATACAATCCTAGGATAGATGGGAATTTTAGTCCAACCCCCTGCCCAAGGAAGGGCTCCCCATACCATCTCAGACAAATGACTGTCCAATCTTTTCTTGAAAATCTCCACAATGCAGCACACACAACTCTGGGATATTTCCTCTCCATACTCACACAGACTTCAGGCATGACCTCCCCGGCGGCCATGTTGCAAAGCGTTATTTTGAGCCTTCAGCGTTCACTTAATGACTTCAGCATTCGCTTAATGACTACAGCGTTCGCTTAACAACTACTGTAAAAATGTTCAAAAAATTAGGTCCAGTCACATGATGCTTTGACTTTTTAACTGCAACAATGTACGACTGTAATTCAGGGCTCAATCGCAGTCTCAGGTTGAGGACCACCTGTACTGATAATGTGACTTCAGGCTCAAAGAGAAAAACATTACAGATTTATAGTGATGAGGAGAGAGATGCTGTACTTAAATATCTTCTAAGTAAATGTTGAAGCATTCACTGCCCTAACAAATAGAGACAGTTCTTCTTTCTTCAAGAATGGCCTTGCTGGTCTCAAATATGTTCCATTTTAAATTTCCAAATATCATAAACTAGGAACAAAAAACAAGAAATAAACAGCAGGTTCAAAGTAACCAGCTTCATAACTTATCCTTCAGTTATAGTGAAATATTAAACCACAGGCATCCCAGAAACAGAACAAATTCTTATTTTTTTTTTCAGGTTTGCAGGTTTACTTCCAAAACGTCTATTGTTTCACATAGATATCCTTTTTCTTCCTCCAACGGGAAAATTCTCATTTATTTATATTCATATTTTAAATTCTGTCCTTGTATCCTCTTTGAGTTTATAAAAATATCTAACTTCGATATAATGCCCCAAACAGGAACAAACGTAGTTATCGTTATGACTGCATTTCTGAAGGATGGGCTTCAGAGTGGGTTGTGTAGGGATTAGAGAAATTTCAAAGGAAGGTTGAGGAAAAATATTGGAAGCAGGATTAAGTACACATAGTACAGGAAGTCTTCAACGTACAACAGTTCATTTAGTAACCCTTGAAAGTTACAATGACACTGAATAAAGTGACTTATGACCATTTTTCACACTTACGACCTTTGTAGCAGTCCCATGCTCACGTGATCAACATTCAAATGCTTGGCAATTGGTTCATCCTTATGACCGTTGCTATGTCCGGAGGTCATGCGATCACCTTTTGCAACAGTTTGAAAAGCAAAACCAATGCGGAAGCCAGTTTCACTTAACAACCGTGTTACTAAGTTATCAAGCGCAGTGATTCATTAAGCAACTGTGGGAAGAAAAGTCGTAAAAGGGACAAAACTCACTTAACAAGTGTCTCCCTTAACAACAGAAATTTTGAGCTCAGTTCTCATCGTAAGTCGAGGACTACCTGTGCAGGAAAATCAAGCTGAGACTTGAGTCCATAAC